TATCCGAGTATCATGGAATTTTGAGTAACCAAAAGTTCACTCTGTCTTCGCTTGAAAAAAATCTAATTGTTGGCATTTTTGCCAAGCACACTTATAGAGATGTTTTTGCCTTCACCATGCTTCTGAGGACAGTCAAGATGTGTGTGTGTGTGTGTGTGTGTGTGTGTCTAAATGTGAGATGGAAGCTCCGTTCTTTCCCTGTTATAAAATTGATCCTGATTTATGCTAATATCTTTGTTTTGGTTAAATGCTGCTGGTTTGCATACCTCTTACTTGAATGATTTTATATATTTTGACAACTAAGAACTTTAAGTGATGTCTGTGTAATTGTTGAAGCGCAGGTCTAACAAATGTGCCTTATAACTACTGATTAAACAGTATCTTGAAAGTTTTAAAATGTGTTTGTGCATATTGGAATTTATGGAGGTTTCTTGTCAGCAATCAAGTGATCATGGAACTTGGTAAAGTCGCTCTTTGCCTTTTCCTAGAATCATGCAAGTGTTTAATGCAATCCATCAGATGAGTGATTTTAAGACTCCTTGGCTTTGCTGAATCCAAGGAGAGGTATATTGTGTATATTTTATTTTTTTTATTATTATTTTTTAAATTTTCATTTATTTATTTGACAGAGATCACAAGTAGGCAGAGAGGCAGGCAGAGAGTGGGGGGAGGCAGGCTCCCCGCTGAGCAGAGAGCCCGATGCGGGGCTCGATCCCAGGACCCTGAGATCACGACCTGAGCCGAAGGCAGAGGCCTCAACCCACTGAGCCACCCAGGCACCCCTATATGTGTATATTTTAAACTGAAAAGACATAAAACTATTTCAAGCACTCCCCTTCCCACCCACAACCTCCAGAGGGAACCACTGCTAATGATGTTTATTTTATTCTCCCAGAAAATCATGGTACATGTTCAGATAGATATTTATGTGTGTGAATATATGAAATACGTATTTCTGAGCTTCTCCCTTTTTTCCCTTTAATAACATCTTGAAGATCTTTCCATATAAGTAGCCATGTCATTCTTTTTAATACACAGGATTCCATTGTATAAGTGTGCAAGGGTTAACTCCTTGCTAGATACTTTTGTTTGCAACTCACTAAAGCTGCTTCCCATCCCCCATCCTGTTACAAACAGGGGGAGCTGGAATTTTAGAAGTCAGTGCCAAGCCTGACTCTTTCTCTGTTCTGCCCCATTCTCCTAAAGAACAGGTTCTTGTTCTTTATCAAGGCAGGCTTCCATATTCTTGAAATCACAAAATATTCTCATCCCAGCAAAGAGCAGAATCCAGTTAGGCAAGTTTTTATCTGGCGGTATCTGATTGCAGCTAGTCACGTGTAAATAATGATGAAGAAAGGAATTAATTTTGCCAGAGTGGAGCTGCAAGGTCTGATCCCTAGGAAGATAGGACTTCTGAATGTATCTTATTTGTATAGAGTATGACTTTATTAGTAAATTCCATCTAGTATATTTTCTCTCTAATGCATGGGGTGCATGGGACCTGGGATGGGTTTGCTACTTGCTTAATTGTATTATTTTGTACAGGTGTCTTCACCCAGATGAAATTCCCTTATCTTTAAATGGAAAATAATACATATATTTACTTTTATGCTTGAGAATGGAATTTGGGACTAATGTGTTTTCCTTTCTTTTCTTTCTTTCTTTTTTTTTTTTTTAAGATTTATTTATTTATTTGACAGACAGAGATCACAAGTAGGCAGAGAGGCTGGCAGAGAGAGAGGAAGCAGGCTCCCTGCTGAGCAGAGAGCCTGATGCAGGGCTCAATCCCAGGACCCTGGGATCATGACCAGGGCAGAGGCTTTATTTAACCCACTGAGCCACCCAGGTGCCCAGTTCTTTTTTCTTTTTTAAGATTTTATTTATTTATTTGAGAGAGAGGGAACGAGTAAGAGAGAGCATGAGAGGGTAGAAGGTCAGAGGGAGAAACAGACTCCCTGCGAAGCTGGGAGCCCGATGCGGAACTCGATCCCAGGACTCCAGGATCACGACCTGAGCTGAAGGCAGTCGCTTAACCAACTGAGCCACCCAGGCACCCCTAATAGGTGTTTTCTTTTTGAAATTTTGTTTTCTCATTTTAAAAATACTTTATTATAGAAAATACAGGGGACACTGAAAGCTACAGAGAAGAAAAGTAAAAATTCACATATAAGCACCATTTATGAACAGTCATTGTTAATCTTTGAGCCAAATTCCTTTTCAGATAAAGAGCACAGAGGAGGGGTTCCTGGGTGGCTCAGTGGGTTAAAGCCTCTGCCTTCGGCTTGGGTCATGATCCCAGGGTCCTGGGATCGGGCCCCTCATCGGGCTCTCTGCTCGCTTGGGAGCCTGTTTCCCTCTCTCTCTCTCTCTGCCTGCCTCTCTGTCTACTTGTGTTCTGTCTGTCAAATAAATAAATAAAATATTTAAAAAAAAAAGAGCACAGAGGGAGGAAGGATGGGATGAAAAGAAAGAAAAAATGTTGGTATTCTCATTTCTTTTTTTTTTTTTTTAAGATTTTATTTATTTATTTGACAGAGAGAGATCACAAGCAGGCAGAGAGGCAGGCAGAGAGAGAGGGGGAAGCAGGCTCCCCGCTGAGCAGAGAGCCCGATGCGGGGCTCGACCCCAGGACCCCGGGATCATGACCTGAGCCGAAGGCAGAGGCTTAACCCACTGAGCCACCCAGGCGCCCCGGTATTCTCATTTCTTTTTCACTTACTATGTTTCTTCAAAAGTTCTTTAAAACATTTCAGTGGGCTACATAATATAACATCATACAGATGGGTCTTAATTTTTAACATTCCTCTGCTGCTTAACATTTTGTTTTCAAATTTTCCTGACAATAACTGGGACACCTATAAATTTTTGTTAACATATTTTCTTTTTAGGGACAGAGACCTAGAAGTGGAATTACGATGAAGGTTTAGAAAGAACACTCTGGGGCGCCTGGGTGGCTCAGTGGGTTAAAGCCTCTGCCTTCAGCTCAGGTCATGATCCTAGGGTTCTGGGATCGAGCCCCGCATCGGGCTCTCTGCTCAGCAGGGAGCCTGCTTCCCCCCCCCACCTCTGCCTGCCTCTCTGCCTACTTGTGATCTCTCTCTCTCTCTCTCTCTCTCTCTGTCAAATAAATAAATAATTAAAAAAAAAAGAACACTCTGGGCCTTTGAGAGGTTTATACTCTCAGTAGCTTTACATGAGAATGTTACATCATCCTTGCTTTTACTAAGTATTTGGATTTTATAAACTATTCCATAGTTTGTTATTTGTAGTTTGTTAGAGTAGTTTGAAAATAACTAGAACCTTCAATTATTTTATAGTATATTAAATATTTTATAGTAATTTGGAAAAAAGATCAAGGGTGTGAAGTAGAAAGTGAAAGGCCCCTTCTCACAATCCCAACCCTCTAAAGTTACCAATATTAAATGTTTTGTTCTATATCCTTCCAGATATGCATCTTTGACTTTTTCCTTTCATATATATACCCTACACATTTGAAAAATTCTTTTTTTCTTTTTTTTTAAAGAATTTATTCACCCGTCTGACCGAGAGATAGCACAAGTAGGCAAAGCGGCAGGCAGAGGGAGAAGGAGAAGCAGGCTCTCCGATGAGCAGGGAGCACGATACAGGACTGGATCACTGGACCCCAGGATCATGACCTGAGCCAAACGCCAAACGCAGCCACCTAACCGACTGAGCCACCCAGGAACACGTTCTTTCCCTTTCTCTCTCTCTCAATCAATCTCTCTCTCTCTTTTTAAGATTCTATTTATTTAAAAGAGAGACAGACAGCTAGAGAGAAGACACAAGCAGGGGGAGAGGGAGCAGGGAGCCCAACATGGGGCTCCATACCAGGACCCTAGGACCACACAACCCAAGCCAAGGCAGACACTTAACGACTGAGCCACCCAGGAGCCCCTGAAAAATTACTTGTGTTGGACAGATCCCTTGAAGTAGATTTGCCGTATTAGTAGATACGCATTATTTTAAAAATACACAAGAAAACTTTTATCAGTTTCGGAATTGCAGAAAAATTAAAAAGGTAGAGATATCCCCTATACCCTTTGCCCCCCACATGCTAGTCACCCTCATTCTTAGTATCCCCACCCCCCAGAGCAGTACATTTGTCAGAAGTGGAAAGATGTCTTCCTAACCCATACCATACCCAAAATAATTTGCACTAAAATGAACACCAAGAAAAATGTGGAAACAAAAAAAGCCTAAAACCACATTCTGCAGACAAAACTTAAAACCGAAATAAATGCTAGTAGCCCTCGGATGTTAGTCTCACCACCTAGAGACACTATTAACCATGTGGTGAGTTTAATTTCAACTTGCAATTTCTACTGTTTTAAAGCCAATGTAGGATACACACAGAGAAAGCTCTCCTTCCTGTTGGTAAACCAAAAAATACAATGGCTGTGCCAGTAAAGAATCCCTTCACGATCCTTTTTCCCAGGAATTTACCCTGGCAGGATCTTGGGAAGAGCAATTCAGCATCCTCATCTCTCTAGCAACCCAAGCCTCTTTCACAACCGTTGGTCACCTGAGTGATTGATAGTGATCATGTCCAATATCATCTTCCACTTGCCCTTTCCAGCCAATCGAATGGAAGCAGGGGCCTAGGGGCGGGTCCACCGATGGGAGGGCACGCAGTGTCTGTCCTACGTCTGCTCTGCGTCATCAGTCTGCGCTGAACGCCCGTTTAGCGCGCCTCGCGCAGTGGAGCGGGTACCTTGTTGCAGCAATGGGCTACGCCGCGGCGGGTCGCTCCCTGTGGCAGCTGCGCACGGGCGCCCTGCGGCCTTACTCAGGTAAAGTAGGAGAACGGCCGCGGCCGCGCGCTGAACCGGTGGGCCAGGGAATTTTAGCAGGTGGCCTGCACCGGAGAGGTCACGGGGGCAGACGTTCGTAGACGTCATAAGGCTGCGACGGGGAGCGACTTCGAGGCGTGAACCTCGGGGCGCTGATAGGCGGGGCGGGAACCGTAGTGCGTGGGGAGAATGCGGGGCGGGAGGGACGTGGTGTTCAGCGGGGACGCTCTGAAGTGTCCTCTCAGGATCCGCGTGTTGTGGAATGAAGTAATGGCACACCTGTACCGGGCGGTCTCTGCAGGTGTGGTCGGCATTCCAGGCTGAGTACAGGTGGCGACCTTGAACGTTCGTGCCCTGCGGGTGTTATTCAAGCCCTCGCTCAGGGCCTCCGTAGGCACAGAGTGATCGTGCGACCAGCGGCGTGCGCTTGTTAGAAGTGCAGGTATTAGGGAGGACACGTATTGCATGGAGCACTGGGTGTGGTGCAAAAAACAATGAATACTGTTACGCTGAAAAGAAATTTAAAAAAAAATTCACTTTATATATATATATTTATAAAAATTTTACATATATATATCATTATAGAAAATTCTGGAAGCACATGACTTATTTTTTTAAAAAACTGCTAAGGGGCGCCTGGGTGGCTCAGTGGTTAAAGCCTCTGCCTTCGGCTCAGGTCATGGTCCCAGGGTCCTGGGATCGAGTCCTGCATCGGGCTCTCTGCTCAGCAGGGAGCCTGCCTCCTCCTCTGGCTCTCTCTCTGCCTGCCTCTCTGTCTTACTTGTGATCTGTTTGTGAAATAAACAAATAAAAATTTAAAAAAAAAAACTGCTAAGTAAAAACTACCCAATCCTCCAAGCCTAAAGTAATCACGAAATAGATTTTGAGCTTTTGAAGCTGCATATTATTATATAATTAACAAATAATTAACAGAGAAAAAAAAAGTGCAGGTTCAAAGGTCCCACCCCTGACTTACACGGTCGCTTTGTTTGCATTTTACCAAGACCTTCGAATGACTTGCATAAAGTTTGAGAAGCACTAGGGTGGTGGAAGCATATAGAAGCATAGTAATTGGGATAGGGAGATGGGTCCTTCTCCCATTCCCGGTCCTTCTATCCTTTTTTCATCACCGCTGCGTCAGAAAATTGTTGTGAGGTCGTTTTCTCCAAAAGTTAAAGCATTCGTAAACCTCCTAAAGATTTTTGCCTTTTAGAAATAACCACTTGTGCTTTTAATTACTAAATGTGCTTCTTCTGCAGCCGTGTTCCATTTTTAAATTAAATAATTTCAGGGAAATTAAATCCTCATGGTAAAAGCGGAAAACCAGTATTGCTTGCCCCTAATAGAGTAATTTAAAAAAAAGTGCTGAAAATAAATTAGTAAATTGTATTAGATTGTCTACCAAGGCCTGAACCCCAAACTGTCTTTATGGTTAAAAAAGGGGGGGGGGCGGGGAGAGGGAGATTAGCAAGTATTAGGAAGGTATTTATTAACTGAGACATTCTCTTTAGTGATATTAGAGGAATTGAGAAAAATTTAAAAGAGAATAACTCTAACTACATGGGTGTATTTAATGCATGTTTATAAACCACTTAAGATCTTCCCATATACCATTTAAAATCTCCTAGGTATCATCATTGTTAGGTGTTTCACAGTTTGGGAAAGCACTAACGTAAAATGATGTATTTGAGAGCTTCAAGCACTGGCCTCAATTTTATTTTACTCAAATTTAAAATGTGTGACAGTGCAGTGAAAACTCAGAGGATTGTTAAACGTGACTTAATGTTCCTTTGTTGAGCCAATGAGCATAGCAGATTAAGAATTATTCTTTTTCATTTATAAAGTTACTTTGCTTCCTGTATCTCGTTTTATCTTTATGATAACTAAGAAAGGTGTTACTATTATGTTTCCTTAAAAAAGAAATAACCTGATTATTATTGCCAATTTTATTTGTAAGTAATGGTGATTCTGATTTGTCCAGGGTTACTGTTAGAGACAAGAAACACATTTTCTTTCTTTTTAAGATTTTATTATATATTTTTTAAGTAATCAGTAATCTCTGCCTCCACTGTGGGGCTTAAACACACAACCCCAAGATCAAGAGTCTCATGCCCTACTGACTGAGTGAGCCAGATGCCCCAACCATCCCATACTTTTTAAAGACACCGTGCAGAGATCATGCAGAGGTAGATGGCATACATTTCAAGACCCAATCTTCCACACACCCCACAAAAAAATCATTTATTAGGTGCCGGAATCTGGAAAAGTAGTGGCGGTGCTAGGGAACTGTGTAGTATTTTATTTTCCTTTTCAGATTTTATTTATTCATTTGAGAGAGAGCATGAGTGTGAGAGAGCCAGAGGAAAAATCAGACTCCCCGCTGAGCAGGGAGCCAAATGTGGGGCTTGATCCCAGGACCTAAAGATCATGACCTAAGCTGAAGGCAGGTGGTTAACCATCTGAGCCACCCAGGTGCCCCTGTAGTATGTTTTTAATAGAAATACAGTCCTGCCCATTAGAAGCTGTGTATTTGAACTCATCCTGTGTACTCAGCCCCTTGCTATTTCCCCTTAAATGTTGTGTTTTTTGTTTTTTTTAATGAGTACCCGGTTGTCTTTCCCATTAGCATGTTTTGAGATGGGAGTAATAAATGAAAGAAGAAGCATACAAGATTATCTTGAGAAATAGGGCCAGCTCGTCATTTTCAATTTCAATTCATAGGAGTCCTCTTTCTGCAAGGAGGCCAGGTTAGTGGGAGCACAAATCCTTGGAGTTGGAGGCAACAACTTGGTCTTTTTTTTTTTTTTTTTAAGATTTTATATATTTATTTGACAGACAGAGATCACAAGTAGGCAGAGAGGCAGAGGAAGAGAAGCAGGCTCTGTGCTGAGCAGAGAGCCTGATGCGGGTCTTGATCCCAGGACCCTGAGATCGTGACCCGAGCTGAAGGCAGAGGCTTTAACCCGAGGCAACAACTTGGGACAGGCTACCTTGCCTTTGTCAAATGTGCCAAATTGTTCTCCATATAAAAACATGGTCATGACCAGAGTGACCTGCCGGGTTATGGCACAGATCTCAGTGGTACATTATACCTAGCAGAACTTGGACTCCATCCAGTTGTTGGTGTCCATTTCCTGGATTCCATCCGTTTCTTTTCTTTTCTTTTTTTTAAAGATTGTATTTACTTATTTGACAGAAGAGAGAGAGAGAGACAGTAAGAGAGGGAACAGAAACAAGGGGAGTGGGAGAAGGAGAAGCAGGCTTCCCACCAAGCGAGCCTGCTGAGCAAGGATCCAGATGCGGGGCTCGATTCCAGGACCTGAGTCGAAGGCAGACACTCAACGACTGAGCCATCCAGGTCCCTCTCCGTCAGTTTCTTAAATCAGATATGTTCAGTGAGATGTAGCAGGTCATGCAGAGGAATGGCTCAAAGCTAGGTCACCGTATTTCAGACCCCCATGTCCATGCTCCTTTGTTTAGTGAGGCATTTAAAACCCTGGTTGAACCTGGTCGAAAAGTTCAAATGCAGAATCACCCCAAATTTTATCCAGCCTGTCCCATCACCTTGTGTCCAAAGCACTCAAGCCTTTTAATGAAAATCCTACAGATGTACTCAAAGTGAAGTTTTCCACACATTTTCAGGGTGTAGAAGTTAGGTTAAATGAAAAGAAGTCTGTATTAAAGATCTGGTAGTCGTGGGGCGCCTGGGTGGCTCAGTGGGTTAAGCCGCTGCCTTCGGCTCAGGTCATGATCTCAGGGTCCTGGGATCGAGTCCCGCATCGGGCTCTCTGCTCAGCAGGGGGCCTGCTTCCCTCTCTCTCTCTCTGCCTGCCTCTCTGTCTACTTGTGATCTCTCTCTGTCAAATAAATAAATAAAATCTTTAAAAAAAATCTTAAAAAAAAAAAAAAAGATCTGGTAGTCGTGCTTAAGAGCCTTGAAACACATCTCAGGGTGATACCAATACACATCACAATTCACATTACAAACTGACTGGCCTCGCTGGGTCTCTGTTTTCATATCTGCTTAATGAGCTGATAACCCCTTATACACCTAAACACATTGTAAAACTCTTAGGGGAAAAACTCTGGCGATGCCTTAATGCAAACCTCAGAGAATACAATCAAAGTGTTACTACTAGGAGATTTTTTAAAAGACAAAATTTAATCCGTCCTGAAGAATTTACATTTCGAAGAGAAGAGTTGAGTTGAATTGATAATGTACCATAACAATATCAAACCTAAGCTGTAAGTCTTATTCACCAAATCACATGCTCCAGGCTTTTTGAGAGAACTTAAATCTGTGGTTCTCAGCCTTGGCTGCAGAAAAGATTCGTGCACAAAGCTTTTAAAAAAGTCCACCCCAAGATTGAATAGGGAGGAGCATCCTGGTTTTGAAAGCTCCCTAGGAGATTTGGTGCAGCCAGGGGTGGGAACAAAGCAGGCTTGGAGGGTAGGTCAACTGGAGAACCATGCTCTTCTAGAGGCCATGTGTCTCACTGCCACGTCAGCTGCCTGCTGAAAAGCCAGGTTCAGTATTTCCAGATCTTTTTATGCTTCATGTGAAGCCAGAAATCAAGATCTTTAGGTAAAATATATGTTTTAATTGTTGGTAACTAATTCACTTTTTTAAAAAGGTGGGGGATGCCTGGCCGGCTCAGACAGTAGAACATATGTTTCTTGATCTCAGGGTCGTGAGTTCAAGCCCCATGTTGGGCGTAGAGCCTACTTTATTTTTTTTATTTTTATTTTTTACTTTAAAAGATTATTTATTTATTTGACACAGAGAGAGAGAGAACAGGAGGGCACCAGCAGGCAGTGGCAGAGGGTGAGGGAGAAACAGGCTCCCAGCTGAGCAGGGACCCTGATGTGAGGCTCCATCCCAGGACCCTGGGATCACGACCTGAGCTGAAGGCAGCCACCCAACCAACTGAGCCACCCAGGTCCCCTGCATATAGCTTGCTTTAAAAACAAAATAAAATGGGGGCGCCTGAGTGGCTCAGTGGGTTAAAGCCTCTGCCTTTGGCTCAGGTCATGATCCCAGAGTTCTGGGATCAAGCCCTGCATCAGGCTCTCTGCTTGGCGGGGAGCCTGCCTCCCCTCTCTCTGCCTGCCTCTCTGCCTACTTGTGATCTCTGTCTGTCAAAAACAAACAAAAAAACCACTGCAGGTTAAACAGAATACATTTATGGGCATATATCATACTTATGGTATCTCATCTGTGACCTTTGTTCTGAGGTGCCCCTTTCTTCTTCCTGTAGAAGGAAACATCTCTTTTACCCAAGAGTAATAAAGAATAAACATTTGCATTGCAGCTTATGGACGAAGAAGAATCAGTGTCAGGTTTTCCAGTTCAGGAATGACCTTAGACAGTATCAGTCGGGCAGCTGTGGATCGAATAATCCGGGTGGATCACGCTGGTGAATACGGAGCAAACCGAATCTATGCAGGACAGATGGCTGTCCTGGGCCGGACCAGTGTTGGGCCAGTCATTCAGGTGGGTACTTCATTGTCCCTCTCAGCCTGGTCTTACTGAGCAGCGTGGGGATCCAAAGGCCGTAGAGTCATGAATCACATTACGTCATGCATTTGCAAGGGAGAGCAAAAATTGGCTATTAGGGTGGGAGCATGGGAGTGAAAAGTGTATTATTCTTTTTATGTATAAAGCACGGACAGACATGTAGTACATTAACGGATATGTGGTATATATGAGGTATTAAAATTTCATCGTGTTGTGGGATAAAAAATGGTTAAGAGTCATTGCATTAGGTGAGAGCATCTGTTGCTGAGAGGGTGTGATCCTGTTCCCAGCAGGGATATTTTATATCTTATACTGAGAGGCAGAGGGAAGGGCCTGGACTTTGTAATCACAAGGACCCAGGTTCATATTCCAGCTTTCTTCCACCTCCTACCTGTGTGACTGACCTTGGGGGAGTTACATGACCTCTCTGTGTCTCCATTCCCATATCCATATCTACAAAATGAGCTAATAACATCTACCTCATTGGGTTTTGGTGAGGAAGAAATGAAATGGCATAGAGCAGCTAATACCATGTCTGGCATGCAGTAGACACTCAGCACAAGTCAAATTGCCTGCTCTGAGCTCTTGGACAAGTTACTTAGCCTCTCTGGGCCTCACTTCCTCTGTCTGTATAATGGGGATGATAACAATAATAGTTTGTGCAGATTAAATGAGTTGCCTTCTTAAAGCTGTTTGACGGCACCTGGCACTTAGGAGTGCTTGTGTTAGCTCTTTTATCATTATCCCTTTTTCCTTTGATGTAAATGATACTTGCTTTCTAGCAGTAGAGAAGGAAATGACACAATAGGTGATACGCTGCCCTCCTGATGTCGGAGTGGGCTGAACATCTCATTTCTCATTAGTGTGGGTCTTGTCCCTTAATAGGCTGTGCAGGTCCGAGAACTTCTGCTGGAACCAAGGTTTGGGCCCACTTAATGGGAATTGAGAGAGAGGCTCTTCTCTTGGTTTGTTGGCACTCTGTTTCTGCAGTGCTTTTTAGTCTGATGTTTTTTTTTTTTCCTCCAGTGATTCAAGGGGAATGGGGGAAAGAGCAGTCCTCATTTATTCGTTCCATTTCCATTTTGCTTCCTTTTCCCCCCATGGACAGGGCATGTAGCTTGCTTGGTATGCAGCAAGTGGCCTCTGTGTGATGCTCAAATGTCTTTATTGTTATGTTTTTTACAGAAAATGTGGGATCAAGAAAAGGATCACTTGAAAAAGTTCAACGAGTTGATGGTTGCATTCAGGGTGCGACCGACGATTCTGATGCCCTTTTGGAACGTGGTGGGGTTTGCACTGGGTATGTGTCTGTCCAGAAGAGCTTACGTGAGCTTGGGGGGTCTGGCCCAATTAAATTGTTAAAGTACCGATTCCATAATTCTTTTCATGTTCTCTTACCACTTTCTTATTTCCTTAGTCTTTTTAAAAGCTAAATGGATTTTTTTTTTTTGCTTAAATTTATTTAAATATTTATTTATTTAACTCAGTACTTTTATAAATAGAAGGTACAGTAAAAATAAATACAACAGAGGAGGAAAACAAGTAGAGCAATTCAGGTATAGCCAAGTGATAATCCCTGACAAAGGTTCTCAACCTGAGATAGAACGCTCTTAAAAAAGAGAGAAGAGTAAATGTTAAAAGAGAATCAAAGACACACTCTCCCCAAATGAAGACTTTCTTCTTGCCATAAGCAGAAGGTTCAGAAGAGCCCTGAAAAGAGAATAGTATTCCTATTCTGTGATTCAGGATTTCACCATGTGACCTGGTACCGCCTAACACACAGGTTCTCACTGAGGTAGGTTGCTCCTAAGGGTACTTGGCAGTGTCTGGAGACATTTTTGGTTGTCACGACCAGGGCTTCTGCTGGCACGTAGTGGGTAGAGGCCGGGGTGCTACCAAGTGGCCTACGATGCGCAGGACGGCTCCCACGGAATTATCCAGCCCCAGAGCCCGTAGTGTCGAGGTTGATGAACCCCGACCTGACATGATCTCCCTCCCCAGTGTGGTATTAGGCCCATCATTTCCTGCTCTGGATTTGACCATTCCAGGTGCGGGAACTGCCCTGCTTGGGAAGGAGGGAGCAATGGCTTGCACTGTGGCTGTGGAAGAGTCCATAGCACATCACTATAACAACCAGATCAGGACGCTGATGGAGAAGGAGCCTGAAAAATACACAGAACTTCTTCAGGTATTTGAATATACTCTGGAAAGAGGCCAATAAGGGAGGAAAGGGTAGGTATGCAACTTGATAAGGAAAAAAATAGAAAGGTAGGGAATGACAGGCCATAGAAACCTAGGACAGTGCCTCATTCTTAAGGCAGGAAGAACAGAAAGCCGAAGCCATGGGCGCTGGTCACGGCTGTGACCCAACTCTGTCTCCAACACACTTGGGACCAGAAGCTGTGTCTCCTGAGCCCACGCTTTTATTCTCCACTTCTGGGTCATCGATAGCTGCCGAGCAAATGCAAGCACAGACTCTTCAGATTAAATAAATGAACTAATGGGTATCTTCAGGCAATTTTCTACAGCAGATAAGGGAACTTTAATTATTTTTTAAGTCTAAGTTGGGGGTTGGTAAACCCCGGTCTGGAGCAGACCACCTGTTTCTCTAAATTGTTTTGTTGGAACAGCGCCGTACCCATCTGCTTACATGTCTGTGGCTGCTGTTCCGCATATACTGTCAGCGTTGAGTGGTTGTGAAGAGAACCATACAGCCTGTGGAGTTTGGAGTACTGACTCTCTGACCTTTTATAGGAAAAGTTTGCCTACCCCTGTCTTAGGCGGTAATATGAGGCTTTAGCCTCCAGAAGAAGACAGGTGGGAGAGTTGGATGCTGACTTGCTCTGATTTCTTTGTATTTAACCAGGTGATAAGGAAATTTCGGGATGAAGAGCTAGAGCACCATGACATAGGCCTTGAACATGATGCACAACTGGTAGGGGACCTCTCTTTACTATTTGCTGGTGGTGCTTTGAATACCTTATTAGGAAGATTAAGGGGCGGGAGGGTTTTCGTTTCCAGAGAAATAGATTTCAAAGTAACCACCCAAGAAAGCAAACCAATATACTGCTTTGACAGAAAGGCAAGCAAATCCATGCTCCCCGCTGGGAATCTTATTTCCTCCTTCCTCCCTCATCATCTCCCCTGGCAGCTTCTTCCCCCTTCCGGATGAGAAACTAGGTGATTCAGATGTTCCGGCAGTTATGGAACCATCCCAACCTTATGAATTAAAAGAGTCTGTTAGACCTTACGTCTTACCTAGAGCGTTCCAGCCCGGCCATACCAGGCCATGTCTTACTGCTACAAGAGAACATAGAACATATTTCTTTTGTTTGCTTATTGTCATTTTTAACAGGCTCCAGCATACACCGTCTTGAAGAGCCTCATCCAGGCCGGATGCAGCGCGGCGATATATTTATCAGAAAGATTTTAAAGTATGTCCACTTTCCCCTGTTTATAAAAGATGACAGTGACTAAACGAGTAGCGTTGGCAGAAAAGGAAATGTGCAATTATCGTTACATGAATTTTGTTAATAAACTTCAAGAGGTTTTTGTTTTTTCGTTAATAAAACTCTCTAGTGTTGATTTTTTTTTTTTTTTTTCCTGTGCTGCCTTATGCCAGAAGGCCAATCGTTCACCAAGTTCCAGTTACAACAGACGAAGCCGGTCCTTGTTTGGTCCATGGTTAATTTTTTTGTAAAACATCAAGAATGAATCGTTAAGAAAATAACAGAAATCTTTTTTTTTTTTTAAGATTTTTATTTTTTTTAAATTTTATTTGACACAGCGATCACAAGCAGGCAGAGAGAGAGGAGGAAGCAGGCCTCCCGCAGAGCAGAGAGCCCAACGTGGGGCCCGATCCCAGGACCCTGAGAACATGACCCGAGCCGAAGGCAGAGGCCTCAACCCACTGAACCATCCAGGTGCCCCAACAGAAATCTTTAAGAATAAAAATTTTGAGTTCACTTATAACCAAAGGTAATTTAAAACACGAGGTTGTTGGGGCGCCTGGGTGGCTCAATGGGTTAAAGCCTCTGCCTTTGGCTTAGGTCATGATCCCAGGGTCCTGGGATCAAGGCCCGCGACGGGCTCTCTGCTCAGCGGGGAGCCTGCTTCCTCCTCTCTCTCTCTCCCTGCCTCTCTGCCTACTTGTAGATCTCTGTCTGTCAAATAAATAAATAAAATCTTTAAAAAACAAAAACCATGAGGTTGTTGAAGATCGACAAAGCCAGACTGTCAAATCCTTCAATTGAGTGGAAGACTGTCATTGTTTCCAGTGGCCTCCTTAGCTGTTCCTTCTCTCCTCTGGATTTCAACATGCCAGAGGGTGCTGGGGTGTGGTTCTTGGCCCTGTTCTGTCGCTCATCTTTTTCTTGGTATCCCATCCGGCCTTGTGGCTCATTCCTCCACATTCCTATTTCAGCCTAGCTTTCTCATTTTCCAATATCCTACTGCCTACCCGGCCCCTCCACTTGGACATCAGAGAGAACCTCAAGCTCCTCCTCCCCTCCCCCATCCCAGTGCCCTACTGGCCAGCCTTCCTCATCATAGTTAATAGCAGCTCCATCTTTCTGGTCCTCAGGCCCAAATCTCTGGACTCACCTTTGACACCTACCTAAATCTCTCCCCTATCTGGTCACCCGGGATATCCTACAGGCTCTGCCAAAGCCTGGATTATTTTAGAAGCCTCTTTACTATTCTTCTGGCCTTCCCCTGTCCTCCCACAATCTATTCTCAACCCAGCAGCCACAGTGGTCCTTTGAACTGTAAGCCAGGCCGTGTTCCTGCTCAGCTCAGAACCCCTCAGTGGCTTTTCCCAGTTCCCTCAGCATCAAAATCAAAGTCCCTAAAAGGGTTTCTAAGAACCTGTGTGATCTGGCCCTCTGACCACTTCCCCCTTCTTCCTTGCCGTTTCTCAAAATACCGGCACTCTCTTGTCTCAGGGCCTTTGCAATGGCTGTTTTCTCTCTCCCCTCAGTGTTCCTTCCCAGACAGCCACCTGGCCAAATCCCTCACCAATTCTCAAACTTTAGTTTCAAATGTCACCTCTTAAAGGAGGCCCACCTTGACCACCTTTTTCAGAATTGCAAACCCCACCCCACCGCATGCATCATGCCACGTGCTCAGCTCCTCCATTTCTTTCCCCATAACACTTAACCACCTTCTGGCATCTTATATAATGTACTTACTTGGTTTTTGTCTGTTTCTCCCTGCAAGACTGTAAACTCTGTAGGGCAGGAATCTTTGTTTTAATCACTGGCACATAGTCATCAAGGGGATTCAATGAAGAAATAGCTCTCCCTTGTTCACAGTCATTTTCATATAACTAGTAATTCAAGACTATTCCATGTGCTTCTCTGCAAAATTCAGTAGAGATTTATTGAAAAGATGCTACCAAGTCAGGCTGGGCCCCTTGGTTCTGGTTTCTATAGAGTATGCTTTACTATAAAACTCAAAGCCTGCCCAGGAGGGGGGAAAATGCTACCAAGAAACCAAAGAAAAGCCATTCTCTGTGCTTCTTGCTGATGACTTAAGAAAACAAAAGAACAACAACAACAAAAACCAGGCTGGACATCCACATGCAAAAGAATGAATTTGGACCCTTAACAGCTTTTACAAGAATTAACTCAAATGGATTAAAAATATAAATGGTGATGCTAAAACCCTAAAACTCTTAGAAGATGCAAGGGTAAGTTTGGTGACCTTGGATGAGACAACGGTTTCCTAGATATGACACCAAAAGTACAGGCAACAAAAGAGAAAAACACAGATTGGATTTAATCAGAAGAAAAACTACTGTACTTTTCAAGAAGGGGAAAGACAACCCACAGAATGGGCGAGAATGTTTGCATGTCATCGATGTGATAAGGGATTTGTACTGAGAGTATATAAAGAACTCTCACAACTCAACAATAAGATAAATAGCCCAGTTAAAAATAGGCAAAGGGTTTGAATAGACGTGTCTCCAAAGAAGATGTACCCATGGCCAATAAGCATTTGAAATGAATGCACAGAAACATTCGTCTTTAGGGAAAACCTCAATGAGGTAACACTTTCCCCACACGTATGGCTATACTCAAAGCGGAAAATGATGTGTCGGCAAGGGTGTAGAGGTACTAGGTCCTCATACACTGCTGGTGGGAATATAAAATGGTGCAGCCCATTTGGAAAACAGTCTGGCAGTTCCTCAGTCAGTTAAATACAGTTACCATATGATGCAGTAACTCCTCCCCTGTAAACCCCAAAGAAATGAAAACAAGAGTTCAAACAAATTACAGATATATGAAAGTTCATAACAACATTATTTATAATAGCCATAAAGTAGAACCAATCCAAATGTCTTATCAGCTGATTAGCAGATAAACAAAATGTAGCATATCTATACCATGGGATATTATTTGGTCAAAAAAAAAAAAAGGAAGTACTGATAAGTGCTACAGCATTGATAAACCTTAAAAATGTGACATTTGGACACAAAGCTTCAAAACCGAAGATGAAAATGCTGGAAATGGATGGTGGTGGTCCTTGCCCAATGATGTGAATGTACTTAATGCCACTGACCTCTACACAAAAAATGGTTAAATGGGAATTGTTATGTATAGTTTAAAAAAAAAAAAAAGTGCTGGGGCACCTGGGTGGCTCAGTGGGTTAAATCCTTTGCCTTTGGCTCCAGTCACGATCTCAGGGTCCTGGGATCGAGCCCCGCATCTCTGCTCGGCGGGGAGCCTGCTTCCCCCTCTCTCTGTCTCTGCTGGCCTCTCTGCCTACTTGTGATCTCTGGCAAATAAATAAATAAAAAATCTTTTTTAAAAGAAAGCTAAGTGAAGGAAGCCAGACAAAAAAGGCCCCATATTGTATGAGTCCATGTATATGAAATGTCCAGAAGAGGTGAATCCATAGAAACAGGAAATAGACTAGTGGTTCCCTAAGGCTGTAAGGAATGGGGGGCAATGGGAGTAACTGCTAATGGACGCAGTTACTTTTTGGGGTGATGAATGTTTTAGAATTAGCTGGTGGTGATGGTTACACAACCATTAGAAAAAAAAAAACACTGAATCATACACTTGAAAATGACGATTTTTATGGCATGTGAATCATAGCAATTAAAAATACAGGATTGGGACACCTGGGTGGCTTAGTCGGTTAGGCCACTGCCTTCGGCTCAGGTCGTGATCTGGGGTCCTGAGATCAAGTCCTGCATCAAGCTTCTTGCTTGGAGGGGAGACTGCTTCTCTCTCCGCCTCTACCTGCCACTCTGCCTGATTGTGCGCGCGCTCTCTCTCTCTCTCTCTGACAAATAAATAAATAAAATCTTAAAAAAAAATTACAGGATTTATCGTTTTATGCTGCATCGGAAAGCAAATTTTGATGCTATCTATTGAATGGGGAAACGATTTCTTTAACGTGTCACCCTTCAAGTCAGCAAAGCATGTCAGAGCCTTGATCTTCTGAGATGCTGGTTCTGTTTCTTGCCCTCCGATATCAAAGCTAATTTTGTAAGTGGTGCATCCAGGAATTAGTCATATAAAGACGTTTTGTACAATACTTATTAAAAGCCCAGATTTCTTGCTGTTTGTTTAGCACCCCCTTCAGAATTGATGGCTGATGGTTTATGCTTCCGAGAGCTTCCAGAACACGACCAGAGAGATTTTCTGAATCCCCCTGTGGTTGTTTTTAATTTCATTACAGCTTGTCCTCGTGTATTAACAAGGTAATCTTGTCTTTCCCTTACTTTACGGCTCTGACCTTTCAGGGAAAATGTAATTTTAAAATTGGACACCATCCAAAGATGATGCCAGGAGGACAAAGGATGTTATTTTGCAAGCAGCGTAGTTCCAAAGAGGCAACCCAAGGTACAGTTCTTTGCATGTATTTCGTCCACAGACCAACCTGGCAGCATGTTAGAAATGCAAAACTTGGACCTCCTCCCCAGACCTTCTTTTAAAATTTTTTTTTTTTTTTAAGATTTTATTTATTTATTTGCCAGAGAGAGAGAGAGAGAGAGCACAGGCAGACAGAATGGCAGGCAGAGGCAGAGGGAGAAGCAGGCTCCCTGATGAGCAAGGAGCCTGATGTGGGACTCGATCCCAGGACTCTGGGATCATGACCTGAGCCGAAGGCAGCTGCTTAACCAACTGAGCCACCCAGGCGTCCCACTCCCCAGACCTTCTTAATCAGAATCTGCATTTTAACAAGATGTGGTTGTTTTAGATTCTGTCCCCACATTCCTTGATACTCCTCTTTTCGGGGAGCCCAATTCCCCGTGCCTTGAGTGTGGGCTGTGTACTTGGTGACTTGTTTCTCACCAGTGGTAGCAATGATGGAGTGTGACTGCCAGGGCTGCCAGCTCATAAAAGACTATTTCAGCTTTCACCTCTCTCTCTGGGATCACTCAGTCTAGGGAAAGCCCACTGCCATGTGGTAAGAACACTCCAGTGGTTAATCTGTAGAGAGGGTCACATGGCGAAGAGCTGAGACCGTCTGCCAGTAGCCATTTATGGGCACCATCTTGGGAGAGAATCCTTTAGCCCCAGTCCTGCCTTCAGATAA